GAAACTGGGTGAGTGGGAAACACTGACATTAGTCACAGTGATTAAGTTCGCTTTAGTGTTTCCATCCAGCTCACCCAGTTGATTTTATGTGTTTTGTCTGTTTTAATTGGAAATAAAAGAATAAGAATAAGAATAAGAATAAATGAACCATAACATCGGGGTAACCTCCTACTCTTCCGAAAGATGCAATGGGTTCTTTAAAGTGCACACGAACCAGATGTATACACTGGACCTCTATTTTAAGTCCTTACCTGAGAAGACTTGGTTCTACCAACAGAACCATGGGCGAGGGGTGGCTGGAACCAGCGCCAATGTTAAGGGTGTAGCCAGCGGCGCCCCTGCCCTACCCCTCGGCCACTCAATAGTATATCTTCAGTGTGATATTTTTGTGTACTGTATATTCTCATGTAACTGTTTGGAATCCATCAAGAGGATACCCAAGGCAGAAAACACTGCCAATCATGTTGTAGCCTATGCATTCCACAAAACCTACAGGTACATACAGTACTGTATAGACACATCAAACCCAGTGCAAAAAGAGTTTATGCATATTGATGATCAGGGGAATACGCACTGAGAGTCATCTAAGAAAACAATATCCAAGTAGCAGCCGTAGAACATTAGCTACGCCACATAATGGAATAAAGACAGGCTTTAGTACAGCTCATCATCGAATTCCCTCATCATCATAGATACACACCTCGCACTCTAAACCACTCCAAACGTAGTGGCTAGTAATTAATAAATCTAAATAAAAATAATAACAATAAACATATATGATGATAATAATAATAATAAGAAGTTACTTAGTTCCATCCTTAATCAAGGAAACTCTCTGTTCAGAAATATAATAAAAGGTGGAATGTACAGTATAACTTGGAAGTTAATGTAACTTGAATGTGCACTGCTGCTACATATGCAATTAATGATACGTGTCTGTAATGGAATCTCCAACAGGTAATCAATAATTTACGATATATTACCCCAATAATCACCTGTGTACACAAGCTAGAAAATGAGAAAGTTGTACATAAAAGCGACGCCTATCGGAGCTCAGGTATCACTCAGCAGAACAGTTAGAGTAAACATACATCATTGTAAAGGATGAGAGAACATATGTTTCCAATAAATGACATCAGTCAAGTTCTATAAACATGACAATGTAAATATTTGAGTTACAAATTAAATCATGTTGTGTACCTAATACTGTACAAACCATGTGGAAAATATTTAATTTCTTTTCAATTAGCCAACAACTGTAGAGATCAATAAAGGTCATCCAAACCTCATTTCAATCAAATGTATTCATTTATATTTATAGTAATTTATTGCATAATAACTGTTCTGATTTGTTAAATTGTATTGTATTCCATGAATTGAACTGGAAAACAAATTTTATATCTAACAGAATAACAAATAAAGTGAATCTGAATATCTGACTCTAGATGCAAAAACATAGAGTCTACATTTAATATAAAAGAAAAAAAATTACTTGTTAATTTACATCAATATTGTTTTTTCTTGAAGGTATCCTACCTACCAAAAAAAAAAAAAAAAACCCCTCAAAAGTTCAATTTAAATTTTTAATAGGTCTTCCAAAAGGATTAATAAATTTCTCCTACCAGAATCTGATTTTTAAAAAATCCCTGATTGATTA